TCAAGGACAATATGAGCAAAGTCTTTTTAAATATACACACGACATCCGGGAGTTTGATTAGTTGGACGTTCATGCCAATAACATAGGAAAAACTTTATTTTCTTGATATAAAGTGACTATTTTTTTTTCTTTCAGTTAAGCCCACCATTAATGACATCACAAGGTTTTGGACGAAATTAAAATAATTTATAATATTTTATTGAGGATGGTCTGGAAGTATATCAACGGAGATTTGTAATGTGTAAAAAATTGAATCTACATAAGCTAAATCTTATAAAATGTATTATTCTAAATTTTGCAAATGTGTATGTATTGTGTCATAGATATGCAAAAAAAGAGCAACCCAAAACTGTTACAGGCTTTTATATTTGAATATTCAACATTTAAATAAAGAACTATTTATTTTATCGCTTAACTAGAAAACTTAACTTAAGTATAAAAATATGATCACAATTCGTTGACGCCTCAGTTTGAAGACTTTGGCACAGGCATCAATCCTTTTAGAACAACACCATCACATTGATCAGGTTGTGCACAAGTCATGACAAAGAAACTGGAAAATGTCCAGTCTAAAAGCATGGTGTTTCTTGAATTTTAAATATAACACCACACTGAAATTAGAGAACACCCAAATTGAGAGAACAAACAAATTGAGAGAACAAAGAAATTGAGAAAACAAACAAATTGAGAGAACAAACAAATTGAGAGAACAAATAAATTGAGAGAACAAACAAATTGAGAGAACAGACAAATTGAGTGAACACCCAAATTGAGAGAACAAACAAATTGAGAAAACAAACAAATTGAGAGAACAAATAAATTGAGAAAACAAACAAATTGAGATAACAAACAAATTGAGAAAACAAACAAATTGAGAGAACAAATAAATTGAAAAAACAAACAAATTCAGAGAACAAATAAATTGAGAAAACAAAGAAATTGAGAGAACAGACAAATTGAGTGAACACCCAAATTGAGAGAACAAAAAAATTGAGAGAACAAATAAATTGAGAAAAAAAACAATTGAGAGAACAGACAAATTGAGTGAACACCCAAATTGAGAGAACAAACAAATTGAGAGAACAAACAAATTGAGATAAACAAATTGAGAGAACAAAGAAATTGAGATAACAAACAACTTAAGTGAACACCCAAACTGAGAGAACAAACAAATTGAGAGGACAGAAAAATTGAGAGAACAAACAAATTGAAAGAACAGCCAAATTGAGAGAACAGCCAAATTGAGAGAACAAACAAATTGAGGGAACAAACAAAGTGACAGAACACCAAAATTGAGAGAACAAACGAATTGAGAGAACACACACATTGAGGGAACAAACAAATTGAGAGAACAACCACATTGGGAGAACATCCAATTTGAGAGAACACCCAAATTGAGAGAACACCCAATTTGAGAGCACACCCAAATTGAGAGACCATTGTCTCTTGGGACAAACAAACACGATGAATTTGTGAATAGACATATAATATTTAAATACGGTACAATTTCTACATTTCGTGTACATAGCTTAAGTGTCAGACTTAAATTTCTATAAGTCCCCCTCAAAGATAAACAAAATATAGATACACTTTACAAGTTGTTTATCGTTGACCTAGGAGTTCCCGAACAGCAATTCTGACTGATCTGTTACAGCAATACAAAATTGGACTGATGGCAGAATTGAGGTAGGCGAACCACGTGATGCACTCCATGAACCATTTGGGAACAAAATGTCGTCTGACTAAGAAAACCAAAGACAGTGTCCATGAAGGCAGCCAACAAATGGTGAAACCTATCATCACCACGCCTATAGTGCGAAACGTTTTAGTTTTCCTGGTTGGTGCGCTCTGCTTGGTAAAAGCCGATTGGTTCACTGAAGTTAGAATTTGAGTGGAGTCGCTGAGACTCGAAAGGATGAAAATATTAGGACGTGAAACCTCTTCTCGTGTCACCAAAGTTAAATTTCCTTGAAAGGGTTGCATTTTATTTTGTGACGATTCGAGGTTTTTAATTCCAATGAGATCCAACTGCACATGTCTGTTAGAGGGTCTTCTGCTATGATGGCTCATGCGTTTCCCAAAAGCTTTTTTGTATTGTCCAAGTTTCCGCAGAATACAAATATAAAGGATGTACACTATAATGAAAGGGATTACAAAACTGCAGATAAACGCGGCGAGAAACTCGGGTGAAAAGTTGTACAAGTTGCACTCCTGTCTTATTTGGAAGCAATACTTTAAGTGTTCTAATCCAAAGAGGAGCGAGCTCACGAGAAATCCTACAGGAATGAGCCACGTTAAGGTTAAAATGATGTAAGCGTGCTTGTTGGTTAAAAGTCTGTACTTCAGGGGGTGACAAACGGCGAGGTAGCGATCGAGGGTCATGGCCAGAATGTGTAAGGTTGATACTGCACTCAGTAAATAATCCACGCAATATTTGAGGATGCATAATTCCCGTCCAATGACCCAAGTTCCGTTGTGAATAACCTCCAAGACGCACATCGGCATGATGAAAACGCCGAGAAATGAATCGGAGACAGCCATGGACGCCATCAGGAGTTTAGTAATTTTGCCGTCACTTGATTGTCTGAGGTTGACCTTTGACCTGTCGTAAATGATAGTCTGTACAAGAGCAATGATTACGGTGACGTTTGCAAAGACGGTGAATACGGTGAGAAGGCTGAGACATACAGATGCTAGGGCGAGGATATGACGATCTGATGTCAGCGAGACATCCTGCTTTGGGACAATCAGCCCCATGGCCACACAGTCCGACACATTCATGGCTCCAGTCTAAAACTGTAACTCCTGAAATTTCATCACAAGTTAATTCCTAGAGTGTTTTCAAGCTAAATGTTTATGAAGCTCTTAAGAAAAGACAGAGGAATTAATACGTTTTGAAGGGAATGATGACAACTGAATATAAGACAAAACAATATCTCCAGATATTGAAGAGAACGCTATAAAAACAATTTTGAAAAAAAAAGTAACTTACCATGATGAGCTGTACAATTTTTTTTTTTTTAAATTGTAAAAGTTGTTTACATATTTTAAAATTTTTGAAACATGTCTTAAAAAGTCTGATATGAAACGTTTCTAGTAGATGCTCTTATTAGTTAGCTAAACGACTCTTGACGTGCATTTCTTTTCATCGAACATAAGGGTTACGATGAGGAAATGTTCGCTATTTTGTAAGAACTCAATTAGCTATTTACAGCCACGATAGTTGCATTCAGTAACTTTTAAAAAGAATAGTTAATATCACGTACTTAATGGAACTAACATCTTTAAAATTGGACTTCACAAAATTTTAATGCATAACCTTGAGCAATAAACTTCATAGATTTTAAATCCTCACATGAAAGAAATTCTCAGTTTTTGTCCCAACAATGTCAACTCACTGTTGGTTATGCTACCCATTGCAAATAATGTATATCGATTTGCTAAAGTGTGGCACATCCACCAAGCAGTTCTAGTGCTGTTAGCAAATGACGCATGGATCTTTTTGTGGACATTTGTTTTCATGGAGTTCAGAAAAACTTCTTTATCTGATTTTCAACAAAGGGTTCCGAAATATATGCACATGAATTTGTATAGATTACGATCTTCGGATGTCAATGTCAATGACATCGCTAGTTTTAAACCAATGCCAGTGACATGATAAGTGGACGTCCAGGTCAATGACATCGCTAGTTTTAAACCAATTCTAATGACATGATAAGTGGACGTCAATGTCAATGACATCGCCAGTTTTAATCGAATGCAAGTGACATGATAAGTGGACGTTAATGTCAATGACATCACTAGTTTTAAACCAATGCCAATGACATGATAAGTGGAAGTCAATAACAATGAAATCATTAGTCTGGGCGTGAATTCCCTGAAAGCATAATAATTTTTTCATCAATGCGAAAGATATCATCAGTCGGACATGTCAATGTAAATGACAAAGTTTATGTGAAAAAAAACACAATTTTAAATTTTGTATCTACACATTTGGAACTTTCTTCCACGATCAAAAACCACCTCTAATGATTGGGTTTTATGAATCAAGCACTTACAAGAGGCACAAATTCTGACATTGTTGTGTTGAGTCAAAGAAAGAATATCTGGACTAACAAAGTCAAAAACAAATACATTTCTCCAACGCTGTCATCATTACAAACTCTATTGTAAATAAAACAACCTTCACTAGCGTTAAATGTGTTGTAGCACAAATCTAAAAAGAAAATAAAGTAATGAAATTTGTAATTCAAAAGCGACTTTGTCTTAGATTATACTACGTTTTGCTGGCATCCGTCCTACACAATGTGACGTTACGTTGGTGCAGATTTCGCAGGACGAACTCCACAAGGACTTAGATTATTCTTCTAGGATTACAAGCTGGTTCCCTTACAGCAAATAGCCTCTCTCCACGCCGCTTGTCAAGAATGGCGTCACAGAGGTTGTCGGAATGTTTCATTGTATCAATGTTATCAGCCTACGGGACTCAATCTGCGTGTTTGAATTCAGAATTTCCTTCTCTTAGATGAGTTTCCATCCAAGGTTAACGAGTCTCATCCATCCTGGGTGCTGGTGATGTTTTTGCTTGACTGGGCTTTTGGCTGGAATTGAATTCCAGATCACCAATTTGAGACTTGCCCAGTTTAGACCATTCGGCCATTCATAATAATAATAATAATTTTAAACTTATTTTTAAAAAAAGTTCCTATCACTTAAAAAATATAATTAAAAATGGATACTATATAAGAGAGCGTGTTTACGTCATGTGAATAAAATAGTGGAAGAAATAAAAAAAATAAAAACAAGAAAGCTTGGAGAAAGAAATAGATAATTATGTAAAAATTTCGTATATAAACCTTCTCAGAAAGACGAGAATCAAAACAAATGGAGAAATAGCAAAATGTAAACTTAGTCTTCTAATATCATAATTAGCTATCATCCAATGAATAGTCTTAAATAACAAGACAGTTTGGGGACTACCAACTTGTTAATTCTGAGGTTCATTGCATCATCGAACGTGGGCACAGCAGAGATCTGACAGCTCGTCTGACCGATCTGTTGCAGCAATACAGAACCGGACTAATGGCAGAATTGATGTAGCCAAACCAAGCGATGCACATCAGAAACCAGTGGGGGACTAAGTATTGCCTCACCAAAAAAACCAAAACCAGCGTCCACGAAGGCAGCCAACAAATGGTGAAACCTATCATCACCACGCCTATAGTGCGAAACGTTTTAGTTTTCCTAGTTGGTGCGCTCTGCTTGGTAAAAGCCGATTGGTTCACTGAAGTTAGAATTTGAGTGGAGTCGCTGAGACTCGAAAGGATGAAAATATTAGGACGTGAAACCTCTTCTCGTGTGACCAAAGTTAAATTTCCTTGAAAGGGTTGCATTTTATTTTGTGACGATTCGAGGTTTTTAATTGCAATGAGATCCAACTGCGCATGTCTGTTAGAGGGTCTTCTGCTATGATGGCTCATGCGTTTCCCAAAAGCTTTTTTGTATTGTCCAAGTTTCCGCAGAATACAAAAATAAAGGATGTACACTATAATAAAAGGGATTACAAAACTGCAGATAAACGCCGTGAGAAACTCAGGTGAAAAGTTGTACAAGTTGCACTCGTGTCTTATTTGGAAGCAATACTTAAAGCTTTCTAATCCAAAGAGGACCCAGCTCACGAGAAATACTGTAGGAATGAGCCACGCTAAAGTTAAAATGATGTAAGCGTGCTTGTTGGTTAAAAGTCTGTACTTCAGGGGGTGACAAACGGCGAGGTAGCGGTCGAGGGTCATGGCTAGAATGTGTAAGGTTGATTCTGCACTCAGTAAATAATCCACGTAATATTTGAGGATGCATAATTCCCGTCCAATGACCCACGTTCCATTGTGAATAACCTCCAAGACGCACATCGGCATGATGAAAACGCCGATGAATAAATCGGAGACAGCCATGGATGCCATCAGGAGTTTAGTAATTTTGCCGTCACTTGATTGTCTGAGGTTGACCTTTGACCTGTCGTTAATAATAGTATGTCCAAGAGCTATGATCACGGTGACGTTTGCAAAGATGGTGAATACGGTGAGAAGGCTGAGACATACCGACGCCACGGCGAGGACATGACGATCTGATGTCAGCGAGACATCCTGCTCCGGGACAATCAGCCCCATTGCCACACAGTCCGACACATTCATGGCTCCAATCTAAAACTGTAACACCTGAAATTTCATCACAAGTTAATTCCTAGAGTATTTGCAAGCTAAATGTTTATGAAGCTCTTAAAAAAAGACAGAGGACTGAAACACGTTTTTAAGGGAATGATGACAACTAAAAATAAGGCCAAAAAAATATCACCAGACATTGAAGAGAACACTATAAAAACAATTTTGAAAAAAAAAATTACTACAACGAGCTGTACACGGTTTCTTTTTAATTATAAAAGTTGGTTCAATATTTTAAAATTTTTTAAACATGCCTTAAAAAGTCTGATATGAAACGTTTCTAGGAGATGCTCTTATTAGTTAGCTAAACGACTCTTGACGTGCATTTCTTTTCATTGAACATAAAGGTAACGATGAGGAAATGTTCACTATTTTGTAAGAACTCAATTAGCTATTTACAGCCACGGTAGTTGCATTCAGTAACCTTTAAAAAAATGTTTGATAGCATGAACCAAATGAAACAAAATTCTCAAAGTTTTACTTAACAAAACATTATTACATAACCTTGTGCAATAAACTTCACAGACTTTAAATCCTCACATGAAAGAAATTCTTAATTTTTGTCCCGACAATGTCATCCCCCGTGTTGTTTAAGCTACTGATTGGAAATAATGTGTATCGATTCGCTAACGTGTGGCACATCCACCGAGCAGTTCTAGTCCTGTTAGCAAATGACACACGGATTTTTGGGTTACCGGAAATTTGATCGAAAGAAATTTCGTCGACAGTGAAGTGATCGACGGTAATTTGATCGAACGGAAATTTGCTCAAAATCTTTTTTTAGCTCACACGTTAAAATTTTCGGTAAAACTTCTTTTTTGAACACATTATACTATAATTATTAAAACAAAATAATGCGTCCAAAAAGAAAGGTAAAACAAAATGTTAACGTGTGAACTGAAAAAAAAAAATGATTCGACGAAAGTTCCGTTCGATCAAATTACCGTCGATCAATTTACCGTCGACGAAATTTCTTTCGATCAAATTTCCGGATACGGCACTTTTGGACATTTGTTTTCATTGAGTTCACAAATGCTTTTCAATCTGATTTTCAGCAAAAGGTTCTGAAATATATGCACATGAAGCTGCATAGGTTATGATATTCGGATGTCAATGTCAATGACATCGCTAGTTTTAAGCCAATGCTAGTGAAATGATAAGTGGACGTCAATGGCAATGAAATCGCTTGTCTTAAACATATTCTAATTACATGATAAGTGGACGTCAAGGCAATGAAATCATTGGTTTGGTCATAAATTCCCATAAAACATAATAATTTTTTCATCAATGCGAAAGATATCATCAGTAGGACATGTCAATGCAAATGACATACTTCATTTGAAAAATAAAACAACAAATTTTAATTTTTATCTAGACACTTGGAACTTTCTTCCGCAAACTTTCTTTCACACCAACTCCGGAAGGAATAAACCAGGTCAAGGTTAATATAATATACGCGTGCTTGTTGGTTAAAAGCCTATACCTCAGTGGATGACAAACCGCGAGGTAGCGATCGAGGGTCATGGCTAGAATGTGTAAGGTTGACACTGCACTCAGTAAATAATCAAGGCAATATTTGGCGTTGCATAAGTTGAGTCAGTGGACCCATATTCCGTTGTGGATCACCTCTAAGACAGACTTCGGCATAATGAAAGCGCCGATGAATAGATCGGAGACAGCCATGAACGCCATCAGGAGTTTAGTAATTTTATTGTTACTTGAATGGCTGAGCTTGACCTTCGACCTGTCATTAATAATAGTCTGTTTAAGAACAATGAAAGCGGTGACGTTGGAAAAGACAGTGAAAACGGTGAGAAGGCTGAGACATACCGACGCCACGGCGCGGACATGACGATCTGATGTGAGTGATACCTCCTGCCCCGGGACAATCAGCCCCATTGCCACGCAGTCCGACACATTCATGGCTCCAATCCTATAACTGACCCTCTTGCAATTTCAATAACAAGGAAATAATATGATTTTTTTTCCTCAATTTTGTTCTATTTGGAGATCTTATGAAACAGACACAAGTCCTCTATTTTTAAAGAGAATGATGTGTGAAATAAAAATATGAAATAAACTTAGCAATATAACCTGAAAATGAAAATAAAATGATTTTCAAAAAAACAATTAAAATGTCAATTAAATACCTGGAATTTTAAAAAAAATAAAAGGGAACAAAATTCTAAAATTAAAAACCCAAGTTTTATTCAAAGAAATTCAATAATTTAATTATTCTAACAAATCCTTCTTCTCAGTGTTATTCTATGCAGTTAAATTTTTCAATTAGGTTAACAATCACTACCACTCATTATTATTCAAAGCAATATAATTATATAATCATACTCACTATCAATTCGAAATATCGTAACGTATCTTTGAAAATCTGAACCAAATAGTTCCTCGTGAACTGAAGGTATTACTCCGCCGAATGGAATGAAAAACTTTGCATTGCTTCAGGAAAATACACTTTATTTTTGCTAGCATTGCATTAGCCAATAAAAGCTTCCGGATGGCGCGTTAATTAAATGTTCCAAAAATGATCGGAATCATCAACTTGGTGCAAATATTTTTTTTTTTAAAAATGAAAAAAAAAGATAACAAAGTTGTAAAACTGGACCCGTGGGAAAAAAAAAAGGTCCCATCTTTTAAAAAAAAATTAATTAATTGATTTAAAATCTATACATGTCTACAAAATGTATAATCTTTTGATTTGGTTACGAAAATGTATACTGAATGCTGCCAAATCGGTCCGTGTCTGAGTTAAATATGTTAGGGTTTGACCCTCATTGGAAACTAATGTGAAAAAAGAGGAAAATAATTCTTCTGTTCTAAACAAATAATTTAACAAAAAATAAATTTAGAGTAAATTTTAAAGAATCGTAAGCGTATAGTAAGCTAGGACATAGTAGTTCTGTTAGCCGTTATAAACATCGGATTAAACAAAATTAGTATATTAGATTTAAATAATCGAAATGTATTACTCTCTACGAAGTGGCTTATTTAAATATACTTTGGTATAATAAATTTTAAAAGGAAAGCTATAGGCTTGTTTTGAAAATCCAAAAATGTTTTTAAAGTTTGTGTCGGCGTCAGCTCCAGATAGAAATTTCAACTACAGTCCTGGGAATCGAATATAATGTAAGACAACTTATTATATGAGTGTTTTAAGTACTTTTTATGTATTTATCCTCTTTTAATTTTTATTAAATTTTACATTAACGTTTTTACGATAATGTCTCATCGGTTACTCTTTAAAATATCAGAGCGTTTTTTTTTTAGTGATCACACACAAGCTACTGTTGGCAGTAATTTCTATGATGGAGGTCACCGTTTCAATTGATTTAATTCAGTTGACTGTTTGAGTTAGTAGCAGGGCATTGCACACCCAAGCCGACCGTGTGGTAGAGGGCCTTTAACTACGCCAACGCTGTGTGTGAGATATCAGTAGCAATTATTTCCCATCGCAGATTGGATGCACCACGTGAATATTTGTTCAGTGTAACATGGGGAAAACAATAACTGCCTTCATGTTTCTTTGTTATTGCTTTGAGAAAAAATACATTTTCGTTTGAATTTTTAAAAATAAAATCTAATTCCGTCGTCAATTTGTTTTCTCGAACACTCTGATATCTTGTGATAAGGTTATTATTTCAATGTTGCTTTAAAAAAAAAAAATCTGGCTCAATACATTTTTAAATCAAAGACAAAATGTTTATATTGACTGCCAAAATATAATGTTGAATTTAACTATGGAAATGTGTTCAATTGTTTAAGATTTAAAGAACTATTAAAATATTTGAATATCTGATGGAACGTTGAAATATTTCCTAGCCGTGGATACACACATCTATAAATACTGCAAAGTTTACAATACTTGTCTACCCCATATTGCCAATATTTGATGAGCTATTATTTTAATCAATGTTGAAGGTTTTTGAAAACTACGACTGATATATGGTACAATCGTCTGTGTTTAAGTTCAACAAGACACATTTTTTTAGAAAAACGTAGCTAGGACAAAATTAAACGTATATAAATTTAAACAGTTTGCATCATAGAAGGGTGCATATTTGTATATGCTCTACTAAATTATGAGTTAACTACTTTGTTCAAATTTCTTTTTGGAAGTACACCTAAAATTAGCTCAACTTTGTTATTTAAGGTGGTTCGAATTTTTTTAACAGCCCATTTTATTATTTTAATTGTGAACGCAACACGATGAATGATCAATATTTAACTCAACATAATACATTTAATATTATATTTTAGTAAAGGGAATTTTTCACAACTTACATAAATATAAATGTATATTAAATTAGATGCATGTTTTGACTCAAAATGTAGTAATTGTACTGCGGGAAAAATTGTCTTTTCCAAGAAACGGTAAGACTTAAATTTCAAAATGAAAGTTATGTCCCGTGTCACACAGATGCCAAAATTTCAAATCTCAAGATCAGAAATAAGTGTTGTCTGCAGTATAGAACAGCCAACAATGGAGTACATCTGGTGAACTGTGTGTTAAGCAGTGCCAGTTGCTATTTTCTTGTAAAAATTCATTAAGGGCACTACCAATCCTCAAAGCACGGGACTAGAGAAACCAACAATGTCTAACGCCGGTGATAACAGTACTGAAAATACTTTACCTTCAATCTTCACAACTTTTAGCCATCACATCCTCGTCCTCATCGCCTCTATCATCGGCCTGGTCGCCGTCTTCACGGTGGTATCTAACGTCATCGTCCTGATCGCCCTGGTCAGGTCACGGAGAGAGGATAACAGAAACATCCTTTCCTGTGCACGTGACAACGGGATCACCAAGCTGACGATGGCGTCAATGACGGTCGTTGACGTGCTCATCGGCATGCTCCTGACTCCTCTGTTTAGCGTGGACGTAATCAACAAAGGACGGTGGTATCTCGGACGTGATCTGTGCACAGCGAGGCAATCATTGAACAATGTTTTGTGCAGTGTGTTGATCTTTAACATTTTAGTCATGGCCTTGGACAAATATTTGGCAATCTGCAAGCCTATGTATTACCGTCTTCTTACCGTCAGGCATGGGTATGCCATGGTGGTACTTTCTTGGTCGATTCCATGTGTAATTTTCACGGTGCTTGATGGTTCGGGGTTAAGCCATATTGGAGTAGAAGACGCTCTAGTAACTTATGATAAAATGCACCATTGTGCACAGGCGCTTAACAAACCGGTGGTATTTACCATGTCCATTACGACTATTGTATTACCTTATAGTATCTCTGCGCTTCTTTACTTCCTCGTTCTAAGGGAGATTCGAAGTTTCAATAAGCGAATGCCTCGAAATAAGTGCATCAAGGCTTTTGAAAAGTTCACTGACCTTTCCTTAGAAGTGAAAACGCCCTCCAATATTCCTAGCCCGTTTGTTTTAACTAATGACTTCATAACTAGCGATACATCTCTGGTCATCGCGGGTGAGACACATTTACCTGTGATTGATGGGAAAATGACGAATGAAGAGAGCGAGGGACCATGCGATCGTAACATCCAAGTCGCACAACCGGTCGCTTACGATAATAAAAAAAATGTTGGCCGTTGCCCTAACACCACCGTAAGGTCACGGCCTTCTCACAGGAACCTCAGGGCGTACAAAACTATCGGGTGTATCTTCTTCTGTTTCACCCTGTGCTGGGTTCCCTCTTGGATATTTGTTATTATTTTTGTTTACGACGGTTTTACAACGACACTGTGGGCCTTGATACTTTTCCTATTTCTCACGTACACAAATGCGGCCATCAACCCATTTATTTATAGTTCCATTAGATCAGTTCGGCGTGAAGTCAAGACTTTGCTGTGTCGAGCTCATTAATTTTGGTGTTGATTCCAAGGACTCCATGGGTTTTTAATTATTTCATGTCTTCATTGAATTCAGTGTTATACTCCAGGTAATCAATGTTTTGAATGTCTTCATTGAATTCAGTGTTATACTCCAGGTAATCAATGTTTTGAATGTCTTCATTGAATTCAGTGTTATACTCCAGGTAATCAATGTTTTGAATGTCTTCATGTATTGAGTGTGTTTCATTTATTTATTTGAATTACTCAACTTATTTGATGCAACTCATGCATTTTAAGTATATTTTTATGTAGGGGCGTCTCCACTTCAGAAAGTGTGAAGGGGTTATAGGAAGCTATTGTTAAGTTAAAAAAGGGGAGGCTAGTATAAAAACCTGACTTTTGAATTTCTCAAGGTAACAAAATTAATATTTTAGAATTTATTTTTTAAGCAAGTGTGTGTGTGTGTGAGGGTGGGATTTTGTTAAGAGAAAAAAAAAGAGTTACATTACATGTCAGAGATTGAGGTTGACGCCTCACTTTAAACAAAAGTCATCCGCGCAAGTCACCGGACTACTCGATGGTCCTAGTCGATCTTCGACGACGGACGAACAACACTGGGGTGAGGGATAGACGCCGCTGTTATTTTGTAAGGAATTGTGTACCTGCACCTTAAATTTCATTGTATTCCATACATGTCTTGTATCTTATTATGCATAAGGATTGTTTTCTTAGTTAGACACATGCATGTTAAGATTGATTTTTAAAGACAGTGTGAATGGTGTGAGCTTTAAACGTTTTTTTATTGTTCCACACGTGGCAGCTCAGTTTAGAATTAAAATAATGTAACTTGAGTATATTTGTTGACATTGTTAAACATTTAAGTAAGTGACTATGCTAGCTCCCAGTCAGCCGGGGAGGGGGGGGAACCCAAGGGAACACCATGTGGCTGTCTGTTTAATCTTCGTACCACGTGCCGGAAGTGTTAATATTATTATCACCCACAACGCGCAAAGCTTTGCGTGCGTTAAAAAAACCGGGAAAAACATTCCCGACCCTTGTCGCACCATCCAGGGAATGTTTAGCTACCCGTCGCCCATGCAGTGAGTAGACTGAGCTAATGCGATCTTCAAAATATTGAAGTGTTTGATGTATGCTGTATTGTTCCGATCATAGTTTTGCTCATTATCAAAAGACGCTTAAAAAGTGGTGTTTTTTTACAATTTTGCTTTGTAAAAATATGCTTTTAACAATGTCTTGTAAAAAATGTCTGATCCTATGACGCGCCATTTAATTGAAAGTTTTGCGCTAAGGGAAAAAACTGCTTTCGCCCTGAACATTGCGCCGTAGAATACACACTCACACACACAAAAAGTTCACGTGACCTCAGATTTCATTGCAGTAATGTCTTTTGCATTAAAATAATTTCATTCCTCACTGATTTTTGACATGAATCAGCTGAGCTTTATACTCCGTGCCATATGCTGAACAGTCAGGGTACAATTAAGCGTCATGCGTTTGTAACTGTAAGTTGAGAGTGTAATGTTTAATTCTAAGCACTAAGTTCGTCAACGCAACGTTCCCGTTGGTAAGTGTTCTGTTACCTGAATAAACTTGTTTACCGAAACAGCCACAATGAGTTAATTAAGTCGACGCTCTGCGCTGTATCACTGGTGACATTGGTACTCTGTGTGGCATATCACTGGTGACATCAGTACTCTCTGTGGCATATCACTGGTGACATTGGTACTCTGTGTGGCATATCACTGGTGACATTGGTACACTGTGTGGCATATCACTGGTGACATTGGCACTCTCGTGTGACATATCACTGGTGACATTGGTACTCTCTGTGGCATATCAGTGGTGACATTGGTACTCTGTGTGGCATATCGCTGGTGACATTAGTACTCTCTGTGGCATATCACTGATGACATTAGTACTCTATGTGGCATATCACTGGTGACATTAGTGCTCTATACGGCATATCACTAGTGACATTAGTACTCTATTTGACAGATCATTGATGACATTATTACTGTGTTTACCATATCATTGATGACATTATTACGTCGTGTGGCATATCACTGATGACATTGTCATAACAAGCAAAGCTTTTCAAAGAGTAAAAATTTAAGTTTTAAACATTAAATAAAAGCCATCATCCCAAAAGTTCAGAACTTGGCGGCCAGCTAGGTGCGAACGTCAAACTGCATGGCCTGCTTAACATAGCTGTTCATTAACCAGTCTATTTAAATTATCGGGAGTAAATCCATTTTACAAAAAAAGAATTCAAAAGCAGAATTATCGTTAAAAAAATGAACAGGTATCCCTTCTCTGAGACCTCTACCTTATTTTTGTGTGCGTCAAGGATTAGATGCACATAAAATGAAAGCGATGTGAGTGGTTCAAGTCAACTGCAATAATAATAAATGAATAAGTCATTGCCACGTTTGAACGTCAACCAATATTGAAATAAGATAATAACATAAACAATTCTCAGCTCTGCACTGTGCACCCATTTTGAGCTACTCGGGATGAGTAAGACTTGGGGATACATGTTGGTTAAAGGACGCACTCTGATGTCAAGCAAATTTAAATTGTAATGAAAAGCTTAACCAAGTATCAACATTTAAATACTGTTTATGTGAGGCTCCTGTTCGAGAGTACGTTTTGGTTGTAGTGAGACCCGAATTTTCACTTAATGTTAGCCCTGTAAAATGTATAGACTTTGGTTTCATTGGTTGCGCGACTCGATTTTTTTCAAAAAGACTTATTTTGAGGTTACATTACACAACAAAAAACAAATTTACGCGTGAGGTTTGTAAAGATCTACGTAAATATGAATACGCCAACAGCTCAAGTGATGTCAGCTTTTTCGCTCGGAGATTTTGTGGCCCATGGTAACTATCTAAAACAACAGAGCCTCTGGTTGCTGCAGTGTCAAATCTTGTCGATCAGCAGCTGAAACTAAATCAACAAATGCCGCCAAACTGACCCGAGACATGAACTGTTATCAAATGAACCGTCCTTTTATCACTGCTTCGTGTCATGTTAACAGTCACGCAAAACGAAGTTGTCACGTCTGAAAGTAAGAGCCGCATACAAATTTAAAAATTAAAAAAAAATAATTTCAATGGAAGACCCTGCCTCCATATTGTTATAATAGTGTTCTCAAGTAATGGATATATATATTTTTTTTAAATGTAGTTTTCTTGCACGATCAGAGGGATGCGTTTGTTAAAGTTTCTCTTATTCAAAATAGATGTATTTGATCTCTTACATTTGGAAGAATTTTAAGAAACTTAAATCAAGATGTATGCATATTTTCTGATGGTCTTTGAGTTGCGTAGGAAAATAGGATGTTGAAGACGATCTTTTGGACACTACATGTGGAGGTTAAAACCAAAAATACTTTACATAAACATTCAAAAAAATATTTATAATTTTCTTCAAATTAACTTTCTATATAAACGATATATCTATTTGGCACAAAAGGTCAGACACATTTTTTTTTGTTGTTGTTTTTTTTACATTCTCTTAATTTCAGGAACACGAACCGATTCTAAAAATTTTCAGGTTTTACACAAGCGGTCTGACATTTAGCCTGCTACAAGACTTTCCATCTAACTATGGCTTAAAGGTAAATTATAACATTTTTATCAATTTACAATTAGAAAGAATGTTTGAGACGGTTAGACTCACCACTTCATTTTTTAAAAAAAATCTTCTTTTTCTTGAAGCGCCCTATATAAAACACCACAAGCAATACGATTGTATTCGGGAATTCCAAATAATTGTTCCAACAGTAGGTAAAATAAACACTAATTTCAGATATTGCAATGTTTGGTGATTAAATTTGATCTAATTTCCTTCTTTTCTTTTTTTGTTGATAAATATTGTAATTTAATACAGATTTGTTTTTTTTAAACAGAAATCATATTCACAAAAAATAAAAAATAAAAAATTATTTTAATTTTTTTTCCAATTCTCACCCGTAACTCCCCTTAAACAAAAATAAAATATTAAAAAATTTCGAATAAATTTACAATCGAACAAAGTAGCCATCGAAATAATTTCCATTTGCAGAATTTACGACTATAAAAAATTTTCCTTTGAACAATATTATTTCAAACAAATTGTTTTCAAAAAACTATTTCCGGATACGATAAGGATTATTTTTAAAGTGAAATAAGATCTTCTCTATTTCTTAACAGAAACACTTCCGATATGACGTTCTTCCACTGCAGCGCTCTTAGTGCATTTTTGATTCCCTCTAGCGACGCTATCACATCGAATCTTAGTGTTCTAACGGTGTCAGCCCTGCTCCTAGCTGTCATCACCATCTTGACCGTTGTATTCAACATGATGATTATCTTCGCTGTGTCAAGATCATGGTTCAAGGCACACAATAAAATGTCTACAAACGACAACATCACACCTCAAATATTGATGGTATCCATGGCCGCTATTGGGTCACTTTATGGTATTTCAGTCATGCCAGTGGGTGTCTTAGAGGTGATTCATAACGGAGAGTGGATCTTAGGGAAAGGATTCTGTGGGGCACGCCATGCTTGTAATCAATTCCTTGGTACTAACTTCATGTTACACGTAATGTGTCTGTCTATTGACAGATACATTGCCATATGCAAGCCTCTCAAGTACAGAATGTTGACATATAAGACAGGTCTGGTTATGACTGCCGTATCCTGGTCACTGTCGAGCCTAACGGTAGTGGCAACTCAAATAGTTTTTGAGACTCAGAGAGATGTAATAGATCGACTACTTCATAACACTTCGGCACTAGCTAAACCTGAATATTATTTATTTACGGATAAAAGGTTCATCCTTGCAGACTACTTCTTATGGAATGCTCCGTTCATTGTTTCTTATTTTCTTTATGGGTTAATACTTCTTGAAGTTTACCGATATCACAAAAGGACACAGAGACGTTTAAAAACTCAACATTTAGATAGC